TTTGTTCTTGACACATCGTAGCGAAGCTAACTCTCGTGAGCCTAATTCCGCTTCCCTCGAATCTTCCATCAGTGCTTTTTTGCCTACAGCCTTCACTTTGGTGCACCACTTCACTGAGACATACAGATTTAATGCTAATGACCTGGCCATGATCGAAAAGTTCTTTCTGTACTCTCGCAAACACTCGTGTGACCCAATACAGGGAGCCAAGGATTGGAATCTGATCAAGCTTGGGATGAGAGTCTGCTCCAGCCGGAAGTAGAAGCAACCAGACGGCCCTCGCACGCGATTTGTAATTGACGCTAGCATAAATGGTGAGCCAAATGTTTTGACCAATTGTGAACATCTTTGATCAATTTGTAGGGTGAAAGGGGGGTTACGCCTGGACGATAACGGAATCAGAATATAATCGGATCCAGGCAAATCCACGAAGAGCCAAAAGTGGGCCTAAAACTCAGTTATCTTGCGATTCTTTTGGTCATTTCTTATTTTGTGTGGAATCGCCATTTTAGGTAAAGCTTACGTAATTCCCACTGGCAGAATTGGAAAATTCGTTCTTAATGCTAGGAAAAGACCATTGACGATATCATCTACCAGACCCCATTATTCCTGTTTTTCAGGCTTTGTACAGCACTGATTACCTTTTTTCTGTGCATAACGGACGTCTGTATTGTTGGCCCATTCACGCACAAACAAAATAACCACACACAAAACGAGTAGAATGGAAAAAATTGCCATAATTATGTCATTGAAACTCGCTTTCTCCAAACTCCCAATCATGCTATAATCTAAAAACTAAGTTTATTATGATTTTTTAACAAAGCTTATACAGATAACCCTTTGTTTAGAGAGAGGAGCAAATAGCTAAAACTTATATGAAAATACATAAATAAGAGTCCTAGTCACCCTAAAGAGGTGAAGGATTGAAAATTGAATTTTCCTACAATAATATCTTAACACTCTGTCACATTGCCACAGGAAGGATGTTATTTTCCAGGCAAGCCAGGACTTTTCAATAACATAGTTATGGTAGGATTGCCAATGTAAATAATACTTATTCTGTTATTACGATCGACTATATTACCTTTATTCATTTTAAGTATGATTCGAAACCATCCTTATCATCATAG